GCACCGGCTGTGTAAACATGATGTTTTTTACAAAAGCTTTTTCAATTTTCACAGAATCAGTGTGATTTTGTTTTTATTCTCCAGGACTTGTAAAGCTGCTTGTATTTAAATGAAAAAGGAGAAAAAATATGACAAAACCCCTGCAACAATAAAGAAAATTCAATTCCTTTAACCCTAGGTACTGTCTATTTTTCACCTCTCCTTATACCTGAGACTTGCTTAACTTCTTCTTTAAAAGGATGAGGATTCCACAACATCTCTGAGCAGCCTGTTTGCTTTTTTGTATAGCTGAGTAGCTGTTGCCACACGTTGTGCTGTCTCTAAAACTCTAACCTTGCTGTGATCCTGGTTCTCTTTTTTGTGTGCATCTTGCTTTGTGTATATTGTGCACAAAACAAAAATGCATGACTGTAATTGATCAGTGCCTGGTAGGGCATAATGAATTCTCTTGTGCCTGTAACACTTGCTGTATTATATCGCAGGAGGGAAAAACACTTGGACTCGCGGTTGGTTTGCTGTTCGGTATCTCTTTATGAGATGCTTTTCATCAGAACAAAACGACCGGTTGATCCCTATTTTACATAGATACGCTTCATTTATTCCAAATGATACAGTACATTCTGTTTGTCTTAGTGAATTCTGTGTTATTCCTTTTGGAGCACTTATTGCTACAATTAATTTTGAATTAAATCCTCGAAAATACTCATAACTGTGTCTAGTCGCAGATTTTATACAGCTGTTGTGGTTTATCATCAAATTTAATGAAAAGATTGCATATAAGCAACACTGGGAACCAATCTGAAATGCCTGTTCATTTTGAATAGAGCAGTGTAGGTGATATAATGGGGAAACTGGCTTTCAAAGAATTTAAAGACTTAAATCAACTTAATTAATGTAGAATAATTAAGTGGCATGAGAATGAGAGAGGGGAAAATAATAGTGCCTTTGGCAGAGGAGCTATATGAAGGCAGTCAAATGGAGTAAAAAATGGTTTGACATCAGCTTTTTGAATGCTGGAACCTTTTGAGCCTTTTGCAAGCAGATATGGTGTTATGGTCTTGATCTGTTCTGTAAGACGCTTCTGAGATCAGTAAATGAAATACTATGTTATATATTCAGTAAGCATTCACAAAACCCATTGGCTTTCCAGGGCAAAGGAGCTGTATTAATTTGAAGGCCTGGAGAGGGGAGATGGGTGTTTGTTTGTGGTTTTGTTTTGTTTTGAAAATCCTCTTCAAATTTTGTCTGTGCCAAATCAGGAAAGACCGCAGTTCTTAACCTTTTTTGTTTGTTTTTTTTTTTCCCTTTTAATTAACAACACAATCTAAACAGCTGCATTTAAGGTTATATTTTCTTAGTAAGGATAGGTAGGAAAAAGGCTCTGCACACACACTAAAATGAGCAACTAAAATAGTTGAAATTATATGAAGTTGTATGAAGTACATGAAAGAGAACACTGATGAGCAATTGACCTGAAATAGAAGTGAGGGTCATGATATTTCTCTAATGTACATACTGTTTGTCCTAAGGCAAACAAACATACAGCTAATTTCTTCCATACAGGCTTTGTCTTTTAGCCACTTGGCAAATGTTTTCCATTTTATTTTTGGTTTGTGCTGTAATCACCATGATTACATGTGCCAATTGTGTGAATCCGTGTGGCAACTGGAACCGAAGCACTTTGATTCATCAGCACCTTTTAACAGAGGTCAGCACGTTCTACTCAGTGTTAGCTTTTATTTCAGTTTTGAGCAACCAGCAAAGGGAGGAAAGATGGGCCCAGGAAGAAAACAAACATTTATTTTATTAGCATGTTGTTTGGCATTCATTTCAGTTGCAAAACAGTAAATACAGGAACTGCATGTTAATGTTCTGTTAAATATAGTTCAACTCAGGAGTGATTTTCATTCCATTTTTGTTTATAAATAAGTATATCTACTTGTGCTTTTAGGCAGAACTAAAGTTCATTCTCACAGGCTTTAGCTTCACTTTGATACCTGCCCAGTGCTTTGGTAAACTCAAAAAGAATTGCAAATAGCAGCATTGAAAACCGGTATGTAAAAAAGTTTCATCTGGGGGGAAACAAAAAAATACCTTTAAAAGATTAAGGCCAAGACTGTTCTAAATTCTTTGAACTAGCTCTTTTTGGATTTTCATTCTCTAAGGAAGTCCTGAGAGTAGTTGTAGAAAGGGATAGATTTTTCAGGGCTGCTTTTATTTGGAGAAATACTGAGTTTCAAGCAGCAAACCAAGAAATGTTGTGCTCTTTAGTCTCTCAGCTAGAGAGGGGCTATCATTTTAGCCAGATGTTCTAAGGAAATGAATTAACATTTCCTATCAATATGTTAGTTTCCTCTAAAGAAAATGTCACTTGTCAAAGGCATATTTTCTCATTTTGCATAATCTAATAGGAAACACCTTGTTCAAATGCATTCATATTCCTGTTTCCCTGTGCTGGCTGTTGAAAGGATGAACTGTTGTCTCCGGGTAGAAGCAAGAGACTGGTGGTAGGACATCCTGATATTTAACTATTGCTGTTGAAACTAATTCCTCATTGGGTTTGGGCAATTTTCTTCAACCTCTTTTGTTTGATGCATAATTTAATCTATGAGCTGGGAAGGGCAACAGTAGTTATTATTTCATGTGGTAGGAAGAGTAAGACGTGAACCTTTCAAGCTTAACATTGTGTTTGGGATTTTTAAAAAATGCTTTAGAACAGTTGTCATCAATAAATCAACATAACTATAGTGTGGGTGTCTGTAATATCTACTAGTTCTGATTATTTCTGATCTGATTAAAGTTCTGTCCTCATCTTAACCTTTCATTTTGCATTTAATTCTCTGAGAGAAAATGGCTTGATTAAAGAGCATTCCTCTACAGAACAGATGCATTCTCTGGATATGTCTCCTCTAGAGTTCCCTTCTTTGTCTTTCTGGTGCTCAGGGAAAACCAGTTATCTTGTGTGGCTGCCAAAGGAAAATGTAACTTGCATCTCTAATGTGCAATTCATTATTCTTCTAGACTGGGATAGAATATTTCCATTGGAAGAGACCTACAGTGATCACCATGTTCAGCTGCCGAAACAATTCAGGGCTGATCAAACATTAAAGGCTGTTAAGGCCGTTGTCCAAATGCCTCTTAAACACTGACAGGCTTGGGGCATTGACCACCTCTCTACAGTGCCAGTTCCAGTGTTTGATGACTCTCAGTAAAGAAATGCTTCCTAATGTCCAGTCTAAACCTGTCCTGGTGCAATTTACATGTTACAGTATAGTTATTTGTTAGACTGGTATGGCTAGAAATGGTTAGGAAGTTCTTCAGGTTGGAAGCAGAGATGGTGTTGTCCTGGATGGTGCTGACTTCTGCTTTTGTGTTGCTCGGCTGGTGATGGCTTGTTGCCCTCTGCATGCTTCCCTGGAACTCTTCACTGTCTGTTTAATCTAGCCTGTACTTAGTATGTTTGTCTGAGAGGATGTTACTGGAGACAGTGTCAAAAGCCTTAGCAGAGTCACAGTACACAGCATCCGTTAGTCTCCCTCCTCTGCTGAGATAGTCACTTCTTTCTAGAAACCTGTCAAATTGGTTAAGCACCACTTATCCATCGTAAGTCCATGTTGACTTCTCTAGATGACCTCCTTATCCTTTGTACGTTTGAAAATGGTTTCTGGGATAACTTGCAGTATCACCTACCAAGGACTGATGTGAGGCAGAGCAGCCTGTAGCTCCCTGAATCCTCCTCCTTCTCCCTCTCTAAGATAGGAGTGATGTTTCCTTTTTTTTTTTTTTTTTAGCAAAGGTTGTGGAAGAATAATTTGAACAAGAATCTTAACATGTTTCTATATATGAAGGAAAACCTACTTATTCTCTATGACTTCTTTTCCTCATTTTCTGCAATTTCTTCTAGCAAGTAAAATGAAACATTAGCTTGCCTATTTAGCCAGTGTGTATTTCTTTTACTTCAATGGTTTATGCTAGGGCAGAAGACTGAAGAAAGCTTGGTGAAGACAGGTATCCTAAAATGCTTTTTCATTCAAAGGAAAGTATAGGAAGCTGCTGTAGGAGGCTTGTCTGGGCCCTTCAGTAGTACAAATGTGCATGCTGATTTTTGGGTTCACTGTTTAAAACGTGAGCTAAATCTAGTGAGATGTACATAAAGGGGCTGTATTTCAAGTTTGTGGTTGCTAGTGAAACCAGCAGTATTGCCATGCTTAGAAAGGTGAAAGACAGGAACTGCTACAGTAACAGTCCTGTGCAAGTAGCCTGTGGCTCTTCTGCAAAGTTACCCTCTTTGTTCACATGAATGTGTCTAATTGCAGCATTGATTAGAGTTGCATATTCACAAAAAGAGAAAATTGACTCCTGCGGAGAGTAGGTGGGGAATTAGATTTTTTGTTAACAAACCGTCTGCTTCTCTGTCTAGTGAAGACATGTTGAATGTTTTCTTGAAAACAATTGACTACTTGAGTCAATAAACAGGTTTTACTTGTATCTAGTTCGTGTAAGAAGGTTAATCTATCTGCAGGTTTGATCTGATGCCATCACTGACAGAATTAAAAGTTGTTCTACTTTTATTCTTCCCTGGTTTATTTTTATTTCAGGCGAACTATGATCTTACGTGACAAGAATGCTTTTGTTTTAGCCCTGGATTTAAAGGGGGAGGGGGTGGTGTGGGGTGGTTTCTGTTTATCTTTTTGTTTTTCTCATTACCTCAGCTGTAACACTGTGAGTACTGCTGTAAAGATCAGCTGTGGTAGTGGTCAGGTAACTGGAACCAAATATAATTGGAAAAAAATACTAGTTTATAGATTTTTTTGGTATGCAAATATCCTTTGCTTCAAGACTTTAAAAGGGTCAATGCATTACTGTAGGAAAGAAATTCCCCGGTCTTTCAAGCTGTATCACTTGGCAAATGTGATTCTTTATTGTCTGCCATTGGCTGAGGTTATTTTTCTGTTGTAATGTACTATTATAAATGCTTCTTTTGGTTTTATACTTTAGGTCTAAAAATATCTGGACGGACATTAAGTGGTTCAACAAGTAACGCTCTGATGGATGACAGAGAATTTCCACCAAATGATCTGCAAATAGACTCAAAGGACAGTCTTTCTGCTAACTGTAGGGTAGAAAGTTTGGCATCTCATTTGATCCCTTCAGCTGATGAAAATGAAAATCAACTTGACAGTGATGGGAATGAAGTTCTGACCACTAGTAGCTTTACTATGGGACGCCAGGATAAAGGTGAACAGGATAGCATCAATAATAATGAGAATATGGACAGTGGAGACTATGTCCCAAGCTGTAAGGAAAGTGAGACTGAGAGGACATCTGTAAATGTCCATATGGACCCCCAGCTGGAGGAAAAGCCTATTACAGAAAAACAGCCAGGTGGAAAAAGAAGTCCAAGAAGCAAAAGAAGCTCCAGTAAAAAATCTAAAGGTATTTCATTTAAAAAGTTTTTGTTCTGTTTACTTGAAAAAACAATGCTGTGGTTTTAATCTGTGAGCTAATAAGAAAAATATATTTTAATTGTCATACTAAGTATTTTTAATATTTCACTAAAGGTTTGGTGGGTTTTGGTTTGTTTTTCTGGTTTCTTTTTTCCAGAACTGTTAGTCCTCAATCAGATTCAGCTCTAGATGTTTTCACCTTTATTTAAACAGTTGCTATGTAGCAAATGCAACACATCAGGTAAACACGAGTAGAGGGAGGTACACAGTTTCAGTATGGAAATTGGGCTGACTTCCAAATCAGAATAGACAGAAATTCAGGTAGTGTGGTTTTGTTTGTTTGAACATTGTGATCAAATGCAAGCTTTTGGTATCTTGATCCTGTATCAAGACTTGAAATCTTGTTATGAGTACCAAATAGTTTGATCTTGGCATGCTGTTGTCAAAATTTACTTACATCTTCATAGCTTAACAGATAGTTCTACGATGTGTGTTTTGGGTAATGAACTGTTAAAAAATGTGTACCTATCCATTTTTGGTGTTAATTTTTCTTTAGGTCTTTTGGATATGAATTGGATAAGGAAAATGTAATGTTTATTACATGTTCTTACTTGAGATCCTTCTTCCCTTTTTGAAGAAGGATGATTTGCTCTAACACAGTATGTTGTTATATTAGGTTTTTGCCATACATCCTAAAGCTTATGTGTTCTAGTGCTCTAACTATATTAATTAAAATCAGTGTGTTTCATGCATAGGTTTCTTTGAAACGTACTTAGGACAACTGATTGACACCTGCTTTTTTGATGCATTTTAAAATATATATTTTTAAAATACTATTTTCCTCATAAATGTAAAGTCTCTTATGGCATAGTCTGAAAACTGGTTATTATAAGGGATTACAAAATAGGTAAAGATGGGAAAGAAAGAAGCCTTGCATTCCATATCTTGTACATATAGGCAAATTTTATTTTATTTTATAGTAGAGATACGAACATCCTGAAATCAGTCATTATAGGGAGAATGAGTTCTCAATAACTTTTTGCATAAGTGTATATTTCATCTTTAGATTTAATATTTAAGAATAGAAGAAATTAATTAAAACAACACAGTCCTTTCTGTGATGGGAGTAACAAAGAACAAGTTCATGAAAAGTAATAGACATGTGGACAGAGATACAGCAAGAGGATGAAGAGGAAAAAATTCACCTAAACACTGAAAGCTAAACTTTGCTTGTCTTCTCTTTCTATCAGTTTGTGGTTTTGTTGATGAAAGCAATGAAGTCATGCAGAAGTACTGCAAAATGAGCTGTCCACAGTAGATGGAAGCTTTAAGGCAAAACGCAGAATTCTGAATTAATAGAAAATTTGAGAGAAAAAATCGAGTAATGTAAAATACCACAACAGAGAACATCCTGCCTGCAAAACTCGTAAGAGTTTTCCTGTGTTCTTATGAACAAACTGTTACTACCTTATCAGTCAAGAACCTTGATTGCTATAGATATAAGTATCTAAGTATAAAATTGCATTATGTCTCCCATTGTTTATGGGCTAATATACATCTGGCTTTATGGTTACTCTCATACGCTGGTTCTTCTGTTTTCACACAATGCAGTGATTGTGTCACAATTTCTTCATGTTGCCTTTATTTTAGTGACAATCTTAATTTGATTTTTAATACCAGATATTTAAAATTATTCCTGAGTATCCCTCTACATGAAAGAACCAAACTAGCTTTCTTGTCTTTATGAGAACTCAGAGCTAAAAGAGAGGAATAATCAAACCAGAGTGGAGGATCCCTGGGTGGGTGATAGCAGAGTGCCACACGAGCAAGCTGGAATCACAAATTGAATACTTGCATGGCATGTATTACAGTGATTTAAAAAAAAAAATTATTATTTTTAACTATTGAGAAATCATGGATGAGTTACCTTGACTCATAGCTAAAGAATAGATTTATGAATCTTCTGCTTCCCTATAAGCAAACCTGTTAGTGTTACTATTCTGGAAAAGATGACATTTGACTTAAAAAGCATGTTTATATTCCTTCTCTTGCTAGTGACTAAAGCAATGAACGTGGAATTTGGAAAATTATATTTTACTTATTTTTGCTTGCTTGGGACTTGCTTAGCAGAAGATTGGTTATCATTAGAGAAGCCAATCTTTTGCTCTTGACATGTTTTTAGAAGAAAGAGCAAGTACATGCACTTGCAATGTGTTTGAAACCCCTAAATATTTGCTTATAAAGCATATACAGTTAGAAGTTTGTTTATTGTCTTTCTGTATATTCTTGGAATGTGTTGGAGCTGGAATTATCCTGGGTCCTGCTATCAGTAGACCACAGTGCAAGATTGACAATCACTGTATCTGGTTGAAGATTCACCTGGTTCAGTATTCTTCCCTGACAGTGGCCTGTAGAGGATGTGTAGGTGAGAGGACAGGGACAAGGCAAAGATGTAGTGATTTGTTCACATGTTCTGCTTGCCATCTGCAATTATCCATTCAGGGCTTTTCCAAGCAATAATTGATATACTGGAATGGCTTAGAGTGAATTTTTGTCACCTGCCTTACATTTTTTGCATCCATTTCTGTGTCCTAGAATAAGTAGTTTCAAGATTTCATCTATGTGTTGTTTGAATAAGCTCCTCCTTTTAGCTTTCTTGATGCTGCAGTAGACTTATTAGAGTGAATCGACAAATCTATAGCTTTTAGATCCCATATTTTTCCTCACATTCTTTTGGTAGAGTAGTCATAGTTTTGAATGCACTGTGATTGTATGTTTAAGGAGGACTGGTGATCAAGGAAGTGACGTAAATTTAAATTGAAGAATTTAAACTTTGGTGATTATTCATACTGTGATTCCTTGTAATGAATCGTACTAACTTTAGTGCGGTACAGATAGTGATTCATGAAGTGTCATCTGCTTCAATGTATTTTTGTAAATGTGGACTTCAGATTATCCCTGTTCTCTGAAAACAAGTTCATCTTGTTTCAAAGGGTCAGGCCTGGCGTAACTGGTAACTTAATGTTGTAAAATCAGTGTGTAATTCCTTGGGTTTGTGTAGTATGGTAACTTACACTTAATCTTTTTTCCCTAAATTAGATTCTGCAATGTATGCTTTTCATGTAAATTATTCAACTTATTTCTTAAAGCAACTTGAAGGTGGAGGAAGAGAGGAAGTGGAGTGATTGCAATGGATTTGGTGTTGAAACAAATGAGATATTGGAATGTAAACTAGTCAAATTGTATGAAAATTCAAGCAATGTTGTTTTATTTAGGGTCCTGTGCCACATGAAACAAGATTTTGAGCCTGCTCAGTGAAAGTTAGATCTTTACCACCAACACTTTCACTTTTGTCTTAAAATCTCTTCTCTTAAAAATCAATGGTTTTTAAATACTTGCTCATATTTTTTTAAAATTTTTTTAGCTGTTCTTGAATGAGTCAGTCTGAACCAGCTTTCTGGTATTGAGTACCAAAGAATGTTTAAAAAAAGAGATTGCCATATGTTTTCTGTACTAGAAACTTCTGTTACTGGTGACTTAAGCTAGTGCTACTGAATGTGAACATTAAAGCTCTATTAAAAAACAGGACAACATCTGTAATTTTATTTTGATAGCAAATGCCTCATACTTGCACCTCTGACTCATTCTCAGGCAGGTGGCAAGAGCATCTTATTTTCATAGACTTGCAGTACTGATGAAGAAAAGAAGCTGAGACATCAGAAAATGTGTTGATTTTTTCTATTCACAAGGTCTGTCAAAATTTGATCTTTTTGCAAATATGAGGCTGCTTCTGTGACCTCTTAGGGAAATTGTGAGAAAGTTTGCTTCTCCCAAGTTCCTAGGAAACATTGGCACACCCACCTGGGCATAGAAGATGTAAGCTGAAACATCTGTGAGTCTGACAGAACAGAAACTTGAACTCAGCTCTCTGCCATGTGCCTAGAGAGTGTTCTGGCCATTGATGTCTTGCGTGTCTTTTCACATACATTTTCATAAAGGCTTTGGTGCCATTCTAGAATGGAATAAATATCAGTGCTTTACAAAGTGGAAAATCCTAATACTTCCTTCTTAAAATATCACAAATATATGTAAAATACCTGTCTTTAGTAAAAAATATTTAATTTGCTTTGGACAGCAATATGATTGATTCCAGGAAAAAGTAGTGTTGTGTGCTGTTTTCAAGAACAGGGAAGAAAAAATAAATAAATATATATCTTAGCCCATCACACCTTTGTGATATAATAACAGTACTAAGTGTTACAATAAAAGTTATTGGTTTTAGTGCTACTAAGGCACAAATGTTGTCTTGGGTTAAAACTCAAACAAGGTGGAATTAACCTGAATGGCTGTAAGGCCTTGCTTTCAGAACCAGGGAAGTAATTTGAGGGTAGAATTTGATTCCAAGTGAGTGGCAGCTCAACTAAATGAAGAATAATAAGCAGTTTATGTGTTAGCAACATTACCACAGTAACATTAAAATGAAGGGTTTTCATGATAGTTGCTACTGACCATGTTTCAGTCAACGTTCATGTTTTGATATGACAGGTGGTTATTAACTGCTTAATAAAGTGCAGTTTGAAATGACATTTGGTTTCTTTGCTTGTTTTTCTGAGAGAAAAGGTTTGCCAGAACACGTGGACCACTTTTCTGGTTTCGTGATCCTGTGCTGTACAGGAAGCTGTTCTCAAAGACAGCCTTAATTCCACCTCTAGAAATATTTTCTGGTCTGTGTCTTGCATCCAGCTCTGTCTCTTGTTGCTTTTGGTGCACAGCGAGCCCAAATAAATACCGGAATATCAGAGATGTGTGTTAATATTGAAAAAGCAATGTTAAGTTACACCCATGTTTTCTCTGGCAGTAAGCCCTGTGAAAACAGCCACCCACAGAGATTATTGGTACTTCTGACCTGGGTAGTTTATTTAATAATGAGTTTAACCAGAAGTAAAATGGTGGAGCCTTCGGTGGACAAGCTAATGCCTTTCTTACGCGCCAGGTCTTAAACCTGAATCATCACTGTAGGGTTTCAGTTGTGATGAACACAAGGAGGTCTGAAACTTGAGTGCCCAAGCTGCAGAGACAAAGTTACTTGAAACAGTGCTGCTACCTGTCCTGCTTTTAAATGAGAACATGATTTGCAGAAAATGGGTGTAGCTGGGCAGCAATAACATACTCATCATAACTTGAGTGTATAAAGGTTTATTGTGCATATTTTAGTGTCCAAATTCTCTAAATTGTTTAAAAATATTAGGGGATTTTTTAAGTTCATTCCTATGTAAAGGTATCAAATTCAGTGTTGTTGGGGGGGGCAAGTTCATTAATTGGTGGAATCAGCTGTAGTTTTCTGGTTACTCCTAAGACTGTGTTACAGGAAGCTATAATTTATTGCTTTTATTCTCCGATCTTCATGAGAAACTGGTCTTGTCAGTATACAGGTAGTTGATTTCTCCCACCACTGCTGTCACAACTCTTCACTTCTTCCCCAATCTCTTTTAACATTTTCCCATAACTATCATATTTACAACCAGCAATAGAATACAAATATTGCATTTCTAACAGTAAAATGTGGGATTTGCACCCAGAAAGTTTCTCCTGTATTATTTTTACAGTGTTATGCTTTACATTATTCTTTGTATCTCATCCACTTGAATGTCTGACTTTTTTGACTTCTATGAAATTGGAGACAGGTAACAGTGAACTGCCCAGGAATGTACCATGGAGAACCTAGTTTTCTATCTAGCAAGAAGTTCTGGAATCTAAATTTAGTTTACACATCCCTGTGTCATTGTTACCAACATAGATCAGCACTGCTGACTCAGTCTCTGGACTCTCAAATAAACTATCCAACTATCTAGAGGGGTCTTCCTTTTCACTCAGCAGGACAGTCCCCCTAGACATCTTTCCCCCATGATAGAATCCCCCACTGTGATCTTCTGCTTCTTTCTATCATTTAAGATCCTGTTGTCACTGTGAGGAGTCACCATATTATCATCTAAAGAACAGGAACAAATTTAATTGCCCTTCATTCCTTGTGTCTGTCCTCACAATGTCTCCTTATACAAGGTCCTTGGCAGGAGTGATTAGACAAACTGGGAGCCTCATTCACTCTGTCCTCACCTGCTCTTTTGCCCTTTTTGAGCAAAAACGTGTTGCAAACAACTCTGCTTTCTATCTCTGCTTTACTACAAATAAGGCTTAACATAGAAATTTGGCCACTTGGACCGAAGTATTCAATCTTTTAGCTGAAAATGTAACACCGGTCACAACACTTTTTCTTTTAAGTCATTCTGGTCTCTTACTAATAACTTTGGTAAACACCTTTGGTCTGAGTGTTTTGGGGTTTTTTCCCCCTAAGTTAAAGCAGGGTCCCCCAGTTAGAAGTGTACAAAAATACCTGATGTATATTACTGTGTTTTTTTCAGATAGGTGAGACAGACCTACCACAACTAATTTTGACAAGGCTGGTATTTTGTTTACTTGCAGGGATGTTAAAGATACTAGGGTTTAATTCATAGCTTTTATGTTGAAATTTCCTAAAAAAGCAACTTGATGTATTTTTTTGAATCCTAACATAAGTACTTATTCTTTTTAAAGGAGTTTCTACAGTGGGAATCACAGCAATCAAGGAGGAAAATGCTCTTATTACAGATACAGATTATGTGCAGGCTGAAAGTGCTGTTGAAGCAAAGGAAAACTTTCACTCAAAAGAACAAAAACAAATGTTACAGTCTCTTTTCTCTTTGCTCCGTGAAGAGGTTGAGCAGATGGATTCCAAGGTACTGCCCCTGTGTCTCCATCAGGTATGTCGTATGATTCTGGCCTGCTGCACCCAATTTTGGTTGTATTTGAGACCTTTATTCATTAGGAAATATGCATAAATGCAGAATATGTCAATACTCGTATCTGAACAGGATGTTTTGTTACATAACAGATGGTTAAGGGAAATATCCCCTCTAAAGTCTTCTAGTATTTGTTAAACTATAAATTGCCTTAAAATGTATTGCAGTTAAGTGAAACTTAAGGGTGGGTTTTCTAATTCCTTAAATGGTGAAATTCTAGTTTGGCAGGAAGATTTAGGAAAATCACTCTTCAATATCCCTTAAATATAGAATTATAGAATCATAAGGATTGAATGAGACCTCTGAGATCGTCAAGTCCAACCGTTAACCTGCCACTCTGCTGTAGCCCTTAAACAGTGCCAGATCCAGATACCTCTTGGTATGAGGTAGTGACTCCACCACCTACCTGGGCAACCTATTCCAGTGCCTGACCACCCTAACAGGGAAAAAAAGTTGTCCTAACATACAGCCTCAATCTCCCGTCTCAGCTTATAGCTGTTCCCTCTAGTCCTCTCACTGCAGGCGTGGTAGAAGAGATCATCCCCCACCTCTCTACAACCTCCTTTCAAGTAGTTGTAGATAGCAATAAGGTCATCCCTGAGCTGCTTCTTCTTAAGGCTACACAAACCCAACCCAGCTCGCCCTTCCTCATACAGCATGTTCTGCACCTTTTATGAGCCTCGTTGCCCTTTGCTGGACTCGCTCCACCTCAATGTCCTTTTCAAAGTGAGGGGCCCAAAACTGAACACAGTACTCAAGGTGTGGCCTCACCAATGCCAAGTACAGGGGGATGGATGATCACTTCCCCAGTCATGCTGACCACACTATTTTTGATACAGATCAAGGTGCCATAGGCCACCTTCTGCACCTTTTATGAGCCTCGTTGCCCTTTGCTGGACTCGCTCCACCTCAATGTCCTTTTCAAAGTGAGGGGCCCAAAACTGAACACAGTACTCAAGGTGTGGCCTCACCAATGCCAAGTACAGGGGGATGGATGATCACTTCCCCAGTCATGCTGACCACACTATTTTTGATACAGATCAAGGTGCCATAGGCCACCTTGGCCACCTGTGCACACTGTTGGCTCATATTGAGTGGACTGTCCACCAGCACTCCCAAGTTCTTTTCTGACAAACAACACTCGAGCCACTCTTCTCCAGCCTGTAGTGCTGCATGGGGTGGTTGTGTTCCAAGTGCAGGACCTGGAACTTCACCATATTGAACCTCATGCCCACTGATCAAGTCTGTCCAGGTGTCTCTGTAGAGCTTTCCTACCCTCAGGCAGATTGACGCTCCCTCTGAACCTAGTGTTGTCTGCAGATTTACTGAGGGTGCACTCAATCCCCATGTCCAGATCATCAGTAAAGATGTTAAACAGGGTTGGCCCAAATACTGAGCCCTGGGGAACACCACTAGTGACCAGCCCCAATTGTATTTAGCTCCATCAACCACAACTCTCTGGGCCCAGCAAACCAGGCAGGATGGTTTGTAAGACACCAGTATAGGTGCAAGACAGCAGATATCTAAATAGCATTTTAAATCTAGAATTGTTTTGCAGACTTCCTTCTGGCATAAGTTTCATGCATGAATGCTAGGATTCAAGGTTTCTTAGTGTATACCTTTTATATAAGCATAGTTGCCACACCTGCAAGACCAAAGGAAAAACTGGTATGAAAAGTAATCTTTTTTACTAACTGGCCAGTGTGTTGGGGTTTTTTTCTGGAGGTTATGAGGCAGGACAAATGTGTGGATAGGTCTTGATTTAGTATTAATTTATAGTTTAGTTGTGTTAGACTTACAGTGGACTTCTTGTTTGGCTGTGATGTCAAATATGGGCTATATGTGTCTGACTCAGTTTCATTGTCTTTATTTTGGAAGATTGGATGATTGTAATATTTTAAATTTTTAAACTGCAGTGGCACTCCTGCTTTCTTACTCTCTTTGACTCAAATAAGTAACTATATTTGAGAAAGAGATTTCTCTTTAGTATTGCGTATTATAGATAGTTTACATTCGACATAGAATTTGAAATTATTTTTTATAATCTGTGCTTGAGTGAAGATATTTGATACTGTTTCTTAACTTACGTGAAACTTAGCATTAGGGTTAACAATTTGTATTTTTTACCACATCGAATTTGGTAGTCATTGAGGACTCAGTACAAAGCTGTTTTTCGGAAAACAACACACTTAGGACAAAAACTTCAAAGCTTTACAAACATCAGGGAGTGTCATCAAACATGATGGAGGTGAAATCTGTTTGTTCCTTTTTAGATGAGGAAGCCAAGCCCTAAGGGTAACAACCTTTTGAAAGTCATACAGGAACTGTGACAGAACTGAGAGCAGAATCTGCATTTCCAGATTCAAGCATGTACTCAAACACCATCTCTTTTTTCCTAAGAAATATGAAGCATTTTGAATGGAGTGTTTGAAAGAAAGCTAATGGAGCTTACAAGGATCATAGCATGCTTTTTAACTGGGGGGGGGAAATATTTAAATCTAGCATTTGTGGAAAGTGAGTCTGTTAGGAATTTTTTTTTCATTTTCTATTGAATTAACCTGTCATCTGCAGTCTTCTTTTTTTTTCAGATTGCTAATACAGCCTGCCAGTAACTTTCTTTTATGCCAGTTCTAGCAAATACTCTTCTATCACATTCTCTTTTTATTCTATATAAGAAAATTCAGTGTAAATTCAAGAGCTGTGTCAGATGTTCTGGAGTATTATAAATCCACGTTGTTAGTGGGAAGTGTGTACTGAATATTTAAAGGTTGTAGGATGTTAGAAGTTGTTCTGAGGGTTAACTTCTAATTAAATTAGGATGTGATTTTTTTCTTGTCTTGAATGGGATTCATGTGATTTGTTTAGCATTTGCTACAGAATCTAAGAAGTATTTATATATAAGGCATAGATACAGAGCTGTGGCAGCTCCAGAAATCCATAGGAGACTACTGTGGATGGCAGACAAAATGTGCAAATAAAGAAGCTTAGAAGTTACTCAGCAATTCTCTTTTGAAGGTCCTGGGCTCAGAATGGACTAGTGATTAGTAATAAAGCTGAGAGCCAGGAAAATACAATTTATAATCTAGACTCCTCTATCAAGTCACTGTCATTTTTGAGCAATCATCCTTAAACTTTTACAAAAGTGCTTACTTATTAAGCCCTTCATATTTTGAGTACCTAAATTGATATGTCCCAAGGATTTTGAGAGTGAATTTCTGTGTGCTCCCGTAGAAGTAATTGGATTATCATCTGTGAGGTGCCTCAACCTGAGTGTTCTGGCTTCAGGATACCTGCAATTACCAAACACATTTTGCAAGTGTGGCCCTTGCCTCAGCATGCATGGCGAATAGGAAACCTGCCAACACTGTCCCTGAAGGCTCATTAGTTGCTGCTTGTAAAGGTCACTGATAGGGTAGAGTTCTGTGGAACAAAATATTTCTACTTCTGAGGTTTGTTTCTTCTATTTTATTGCATTTACAAACAAAGCTGTCAGTTTTTCTCAGCTTTCTAGGAAAGCCTGCACAGTTTTCTAGCAAGGACACAAAAGTTGCTGTTGCAATGCTCAAAGATTATTTGTCTATGGGGAGAAATTGAATGAAAAATGTTTCGGTTGTCTCTTTAGCATTTCTATACATTGTTACATCTTTTCTTTTCCAGATATCAGCTCTAACGTTTCTGTAATATTCCCCACCAACCACTCAAAGTGAAATTCTGATTCTCATTAAGAACATGTTCATTTTCTGTCTTTGGCTACTTATTTTCTCTGAGCTGATTGCATGGACTCTAGTACAATGGTGCCTTTGCCCTTTTAGTCCAAGAAATAATCCTTTATACCAGTTTTGGAGAAAAAAAGAAAATTAAAAACAATCAACCAACAGCAAAAAGAAAATAAATAAAGTCCTTACCAAAAAACAACCAATGAAAAATAAAAGCACAACACCCCCAATACCTTTACTTGATTAACAGGAAAAGTTCTAACTAGCATATCAACTTCTACATTTTCTGCCACTTGCATACTTGTAATTTTGGCTTTGAAATTGCTGGTTGAAAGCAAAGGCATTACTAAGAAAGAGGATAGTAAATCTGTTTCAGTAGTTTGCAGTTAAAACCTGTAGCTTTGATAGTGCAATAACTTGGCATGCTGGAACACAGTTTTTCTTATGTTTGCATGCCTATATATGCTTAGTGTATACACAGCTTCTCAGTGTGCAAACCCTTGGTGAGCATATATTTACTGTTCTTTTTGCAGTGATCTATTAAAGAGAGTCATTACTCAGCCAGGGGGAAGTTGCTTCTTAAGATACTGCAGCTAGACATCTGGAATGCTTGGGCATAGAGGTCCCTTCCTTCAATTCCGAGCCACTGGCTATGATCGCAGCTGTCACAGCAGCATTTAAAGTCAGTTTACAGATTTTGTTAAACTAGAAGTGCTGGAGACTGACCTAGGTGTTCAAGTATTTTATATGCAGCCTATATTATAGTTTGATTTTCCTAGTCCTCAGTAGCTGCTTTGGAATGATATTCGTTCTCTAAATCAAGTCTCCTTAGCACTTCGAGCTCTAAATGCAACAGGGACTGTTTGCTTACTTCCTGTGTCAACTCCTTTGCATTTCTTTGTTCTGACGTGTCCGTATTAGCTCAACATTCATCTGAGAGAACAAATCTTGAAGAGCTGTTGGGATTTTAGTTTGTTGCTTTTTATTTTCCAATGGTCATCTTTGGCAGAGCTCTCGTATTATAAAAACTTTTTTAATTGTTCTGTTATAAAAATATCAACCGAAGGAGGAAGAGCTGCAGATTTATTGCTCGTCATAACTACAGTGCAAATCAAAGAATGCTCTCTGGCTTAACTGTATGACTTGCTCTGTTGTTGAAGAGCTTCAGATATGAAGATTTTTCATGCAGTAGAGCAGCTTCAGGAAGGGAAGTGGCAGAAGGTTGCTGCAATGGTGTTGCCTGACTTCTGTGGGTGGACCAGGAGTAATACAGAAAAAATTAAGAACTTAACTCGTTTTATGTTTAGCTCATGAATTTCAAATAGTCATATTTTACTCAGAATTTGAAATACTTGTTGTAATTATTTATTGTAAATAGGCTATATACAGGAAAGTCATTGTTACATCCCTGATGCCATGATAGGCAATATTTTTAGTGTCTTCTATCCAAAAACTTTTAATCAGTCAGGAAACCTCCATTTTAACACATTGCAATGCAACGCCCAGGAGTGCTCAGCAATGCTCTTAATTTGGTCAAACATAAGGAAACATTGGTCAGTGACAGAATTAAAACTTTTGAACTCATCTCAGTAGACACAGTACTTGTGTTCTAGGTCATTTCAAAACTTTCTAATATGATAACTAAAAATGTTTCTGAAGTAATTTTTCTTGTAGCAACATAAGACCCAAGTAACATTTGGCCAAATCGATTTGTGTGAGAGGACTTAATATGTCTCTGTTGTTTGTAAATGTTTTTCCTAGAATAGGAATACATGTCTGAACATTCATATTTTAGCCAAACTAAATATGAACCTGCAAACCAGATGTTTAAAATGGTGATAAAAAGTTCACATTACATCCTTACCACTCTCATGAAAATTATAGGTGCCTATAATTTTTCTCTCTTTTTTTTTTTTTTCACTTTCGCAGATAGCAGAGACCTATTTTCAAGAGGAGGAATGTATCCTTTTACATGGTATTAAAATAATGTGACACAAAAAAAAACATAAAAAACAAATGCTTTGCTGTTGACTTACAGGTTGTGGGTCAGGGTTAGAAAGAAGTGAACAACCATAATTTGCCATAAGTGAATAACCATAATTTGCCATAAGTGAATACACAATATGCTGAGCAAATCCTTCTTAATCAGATAACTGGAATATGAGTTAAGTAATAAATTCACTTACAACAGCTGTAATGGTGCCAGCATTAGTAGTTGTGCACAAACAGGGAAGTAAGAAGATATTTTCAAAGAACTTCTGTTTTTATAGGCCAAGTTCTGTTCTAATATTAATAACTGGGAATATGTCCAATCTAGATAAGGTCTGTATTATATTATATCAAATGAGGTGCTGTTATAGTAAGAATAAAGTCGTCACAGCAGTTGATTAGAATATGTACCACAAGTGTCTAGGTTAGAATAAAAATACCAAACACACTGAGCTAAGGGAGATTAGCAACCTGCAAACAATAGCAGTGGTGTTGGACAAATGCTAAGTAGTCCAAATCATATCAGAGTAGTCTGAAACTGTTGTAGGAAAATGGGTAATTGCTTCTGGGAACAGCAAGTTCAGTAGTCCAGTTTATTTTGATTTGTTCCTAGATAATGCAAGTATGTTTGGTCAAAAATTTATAATAGTGGAACTGCTGATAATTACTCTGATATGTTTCAGTCATTGTGAGAGAGAATAATCATATCTTAAAGTGAAATTTTAATTTTAGGAAAGGTGGACTGGTATTTCCTCTTTGCTTTTAAGGGGAAATGAACAGACTATAAAAGGAAGATGCAAGAGTTGGTAAGCCCTTAAGGTATATGTGATTCACTAAGATGCATCATATATTACAGAATTCGTGCATACAGATTACTTCTTTATTATGTAATTTGTTACAAACAAAATACAGCCAATAGGCAATTGTAATGGTGAAATACCAAGGCATGAGAAACCTACCCAAATCATTAATAGCCTGTGGTACAAAACCAGAGAACTAACTGTTGCAATATTATAAAAGCAATGTATGAAATAAAATAAAATATCCATCACTGTCTTAGAAGACTGCAACTTTGTCTTGGTCATCCTAATTCAAAAGCATCCCTCAGAAAATCCAAAATGCACAGCACAAATTAAAGGCATGGAAAAATTCTGAGGTAAATTATGGCTCTGCAGGGGGAAATAGAGTAAATTTAAGAAGCAGGATGGAAAGACTGTTCCCCTTTCATCGAAGCTGCTTTAATTGAAGGGCACTGTATTTAAAGCTGATCAAAGGAAATATTTTTTAATGCAATGTATACCTGATGTGTGGAATTCAACACCACTATATAATACATATTTATGAAGGATATCTCCTCTGTACTTGCAGCCATCGGTTTCCTGAGGTTAATAAAGAACTTACTTGATCATGTTGCACTGTATTAATTATCCATGACAGACATTTTAATTCATCCCATGTGGAACTTCATATTAACAATAATTCAGGGCTTGTTGCTGGGATCCTCTAAGGCTGTCTCTGTGATCTGTAGTTCTGTTTTTAACAACAGATTTCTTGAGGGCAGGGAATATTCTTTCCATTCATATTGTTGTTCATAAGCCATGCCACATATATGTTGCATGAGGTTAACAAAACTAACAAGTACTTGTGTTTTTGCCATAATTACTCCATTATTTTAATTAGCATGAATAATGGAAAGTGGTTTTTCTGTATTACTAAGAACCTCATTCACTGTATTTCTGTCCTTATTGTAACTTTCAAATAGCTGGTAAAACAGCTTTAAACAGCACAACTAACAACTCGGGCTGGGTGGAACTAGAATCACCCTATTACAAAATACGTATCAGTACACCTGTGTGACTATATTGATAACCCCAAGGGAGGGGAAACAGTTCTCCATATGGAAGAAAAGTAAGCAGAATCATCAGGATGACAAAAGGTAAACTCAGCTGTCCAGCAGTTTTGTATAGAAAGGTTGAAAAGGGTATTTTTCAAAAGTTTAAGAAGTTTTTTTAATGCTGTCTTCAGCTGGTCAGTAGAAAGGAGCATATTTTCAGTTTGTCATGGTTATGGGCATATAATTGTATTTCTTGAGAGATACATGCTGGTATTTGTACTTGTTTTGCTTTTCATTTCCCAGAGATTTCATTTTCTGGTAAGAGCTACAGCATAAAAACATTTTGCTCATTTCTTTTCTAGCAAAACCTTTATTGGCTTCTAAGGCACATGGGAAGAAGTAGCTGCTGAAACAAATAGGATTTGTGTTTTGGGAACTTTTCTCAATTTACTTTTTACCTGCTGTTTTCATGTTTGCTATTTTTTTTCTTTCAGAAATCTGGATGCTAACCATTATTCGTTTTGATTTACTTATTTCAAATTTTAGGTGCATATTTATTGCCCTTTCAAATATGGTGCCAAATATATAAATATAAATAAATCACAACATGGCCACATATGTGTGCATTTTTCTTTAACCTTCCATTCAGATGAGAAGGCAATGAAGTTCATTCAGCTTGAACGATTGTATCATGAGCAGCTGCTTGCAAATCTTTCTTCCATACAGGAGCAGTGGGGTGAGTATTACTCTAACATGCTAGAAAAAAAAAGAGTCAATTTAGTTAATATTTCTAAATAATAGAGTATACGTATTGCCAGCTTTAAAAAGTTACATAGCAAAAACAGCATTATGTCAGAATTTCTCTGTGCTTGTTGTAAGTATTCCTGCTTTAGATTTGTTCACACACATTTCATGGTAAAGATGTAAATAATTTCTAATTCTTTATTCTGTTAATTAAGACTGCGATCCACAGTTGTTTTGAGGTTAATTTTGTGTTAAGGTTGGTGAGTGTGATGTGATGAAAATTAAGTGTGCTGTGAAAGAATAGGATGGTGTTTTGCATAGTCTGATACAAGACTGTAGAGCATACACAGAAAAGTTGTTGATATTTCTGCATTAATTAGTTTCACCTCTGTGTTTTATGTTAAGCAAATACTGCTTGTGTAATGTTTCAAGCAAAAATTACTTTGATTTAATTTAGAAAAGAAATGGAAAACAGCGGTTCCTAGTCCAGTTACAGAACTGAGGAATTCAGCTAAAGAACTGAGCGGTGAAGAGCTGGAAAAGCTTACTAGAGTTTGCTCTTCACATCAACAGTAAGTATAAGAAAATGTTAATACTTTTCCAGTACAAATATGTTAGTGCAGCTGTTGTCTCCTTGCCAGTATAGGTGTCTTAAAATAGTGTCAAAATAAAAGTTGCATCCCACTGGCTTGAATTTGGTGGTGATTCTTGATATGTAACTAAAATGGTTTTGTTACCATTGATTTTCATCATGTTTTAATATGATTTGAGGAATGTGTGGGGACTAGATCTGAACTGTTTTCAGCAAATCATTAGTTTTCCAGAAATGCAGTTTTGAGTTTTAATATTTTCAACCAAAGTGAAAACTGAGTAATGTTGATTTAGGAAGAGAGACTGTAGATCTGATTATGGTGTTCGTGTCTAATACCTACTGTTTTAGTCATTGTTTTGAAATGCAATTGCCCAAAATTTTGGACTTCAGCACCCATATCTACCCTATAGGATTTTATTCCCAAATTTTCCACATTTTAGTATAATTTCCTAATGCTTTTAGTAGTTCTTGCTGTCTTCTGTTAAGTTTGTGTAGGTTGCATCAACATTACGAAGCAGTGATTCCATACTTTCCTAGTGTAGCAGTATCCTGAAAAGTTGTGAAATCTCAGTTTGTACCTGCTTTGCCTGATCCATCAGCCTTCTGGATCAGGGGAACACAGTTTAACACTTCTGGACAGTGCCTGGAGTGGTTTCTTGGGTAGTAACACATACAGGATTGTACCTGTCAGGAGGGAGAAGATCTGTTGTTTCCTGTGTCAATGTCCTGCCTACTGGACATTGATTTTGAGGGACAGATGGAAAAAATTATATGAGCTGCCACTGGAAAGTGATCAGCCAGTGATAATAAGGAAACTAACCACAGTCAAAGGCTGTGAAAAGACCAACCTGTGAAGGGAGAGATGCTCTCAATCAGATGGGGAGAGAGAACTTTTTCAAGTACATTTGCATTGGCTTAGTCAGTGTGGATGTAACAAAAGCCAAAATGCTCCTGTTGTTCACAGAGAGTATGATTTGGTTATCAGATTCTTTTCCTCTGGGTTATGATACCAAAGTTTGAAAACACCCAGGCTGATTGCCAGAACACAGGCAGGGATTGTTTATTTGTGGTCTGAACGCCTTTGGAAGGGAGCCCCTGGAAAGCACACTCCTGTGTTTCTGCAGGAAGAGGGGGCAGGTCTCACACCACAGCTGCATGTTTACACCCACAGCATGTTGCCACTTTTGAATGGGATTCAAAAGTGGGATTGCACTCCCAGTGCCTGCAGGCATCCTCTGCCCGCATCTCCTTGCATGTGACCTTGCAAGCTCACTGAAAGATTAAGATTCAAGTCTATTGCAATTTGTGCTGCAATGAGCAGCACCTCCCTACTATCACCTCGATTGTCACCTTGTTGAGAATAACTCTGCTTTCTCCTTCATTTCAGTTGTGAAATCTCATTCCCTGCTGTGAGAAAGCCTGAAATTTGATAAAAATTGAGGCTTGTGTTCATTTGCCATGATTAGCGCTCTGTACTTAATATTATTACCCTTTCAAACTCTCTAGGCAAAAGCCTATTTGCTTTTATTGTTTCCTATAGGGTTTTTTCCTAAGCCTTAAACTCAATTTATTTTTTAATTAAAATTGCACTTTATTTGTTAATTAATAAACATGCAGGTCTTGGAAAATGTGTTTTGTAATTGAAAGTAATATAACTGTTTCTGATACTCAAGGTTTGCAGCTACACACTGAACATATTTGCTCTTTGAAGATAGTTTTGAGTGTCCCTTACTTGAAGTTTAAATAGTAAAATTTAAAAGTCAATGTAACTTTTAAAAGCTTTTGTTGGAGAGTATGAACATCAGTACTTTTCTCTTGTGTCTCTCTTTTTTTATGTATCTTTAAATAAAATGCTCCACATTTTATCTTTCTTGCTGTATGGAATTCGACTGCAAGACAGATTGTGCATGATAAATCACATTGTGCATGAATCTCTGCACAGTTTGCAAAGTCCACACTGACTATTAGCAGTGCTGATTCACTTGTGAATCCGAGTGGAATCAGTGGGAGCTGCTGTACCTTACACTACCCAGAAAACATGTCCCAGTCTGTGGAAATACATTTTGTGGGTGTTTTCCCATTCCTCAATCTCTGCTATAGTGATCAGTATTTTTAATAGTAGACCTAGCAAATCTTTACATGATTTTTAAAGCTGGTAGAGTTCCTTCTGAGCATAAACTTCTACAGAAATTTGCATTGCTTGGTATGTTGCAGTAAATTTTCTTCAGACTCTTTCTTGATTGGGTGGAGCAATGTTTGGGCTAATAGGTCTTCAGATGACAGTCACACAAGTAGAGATGTGTGCCTGAAAGTATGGTATAGCATTCTGACACTGGTTCCATATAAGAACAGTTCTGTACTAATTGTAGAGCAGAGCAGAGGTTTTGTAAGATATCAATTACATTTGGTATGAAGAATGTTGCTACTAGGTTGTTTAATTTATTCCTTTTTTCTCTCTTGCTGCAGGCCACAGGCATCCAAAAATAAGGTAAGCAGCTGTTTAATTGAATTCTGTTTAGTCAAAGATTGGTAATAAATATATTTTTAATATTATTCAATGAAATCTTTCCAGTTTAGAAACTGTCTGAAGCTTGAATGCCTCAGAAAGTCTTGTTTAATTCCAAAACTTAAAGGAAATATTACCATATTTTACAGCTAGTAGCTGCAGAAAATGCATGGGAAAGTGGTTGTTTGCCTCAGTTATTGGAAACCAAAAGTTTAAAGGAAAGAGAAGCTGCTGCTTTTAAATCAGGTATGTGTGTATGTATGTACCTATGCATATGTTTGTTTTAAATATTATCCTGTAGTGACATATTCCTATAAATGCAATGAAGCTATTTCATTTGAAGCTACAGCATCTGTTGAATTTCCACAGATGTGCAAATGGATTAATTTTTTTTTTCCACAACCGCACAATGGATGCACTACGCAATTTTAATTAGTCATTGAGATTTGGAATTGTAGTTAAAGTAATTCTAGCCTCCATCAAAAAGTCCTAAATGTGCATGCATTTATAGCATCTTACATGAGCTACAGAATTTCATAGAACTAGAGATAAGATACATAATTTGTGTGTATAAAAGACAAGGTAAATCATCTCTCATGACAAATATCCTGAGGTGTGGCAATTCAGTATAGCTAACAGTATTGGTAACTATTTTAAATTGCATGCAGTATACTGATTTTGAGATGCATTATTCTGAAACAGCACAGAAAATTATGAAGCTTTTGGGGGGGATCTTGAGGAGAAACACATGCTTCAGTTAATTGTTTTCAATACACACTTTCAATACACATTTTCCTTTGCTTGCCGTGGGGCAGTGGTTCTTTTGTTTGAGTAGTTTGTTAGAATCCTTGGGTTCTTTTGAAACACAAATTAATGGACTGTTAAACTTGAGACAGAGGGGGAAGCAATATTGGTAGACTACCAGGCTGTGGTTTATCTCTCCCCTCTCTGAGCAAAATGTTTGGGGTTTTGACACATCACAGTCTCCGAAATTGGCCTAAAGTACCTTTCCTCAAAACCAGCTAGAATTTCTCACAAGATGAGCATTGGCATTAAGTGATCCTAGGAGGTCCCTTTCAATCTAAACTATCCTACAAATGTGTATCAGCCAGGATGTTCAGGAGAATCAGGAATTAATGAAGATAAGAGTCACAATTCTCTACATGTGTGGATTCCCCTTCATCCTCTTTTACCATGACCCATATACTGCCTTTTTTCTGTCCTTATTCTTGTAACCCAAGTAAACTCAAAACATTGAAAAGATGAAACAAATGTACTACGGCTCAGAAAGCAGATCAAAAGAACCCAATGCTTTTTATTGGTTGGAAATTCTGTGGTTGGAAGTTTCCATGGAAAAAACTTAGGTGATTACAATTTTTCCCACTGTTTTTTTCCAAGTGGAATAACAAAAGCTTTCTGGAGAGCAGAATTTCTGAACATTTGAAACTTTTGAATTCAGGACCGTTTGTTCTAGTGCTAAAATACTGTAGTACAAGATCTTGACTTAATGTGGAAGGAACTAATGGTGTATGTGGATCATTTCATGCCTTTCTCTTAATGTAAATCTTTTCAAAATGTCATCAAAATCTTTGGGTTCCTGTAAAATGTTGGTTAATTAATAAAGCTATGTCATTGAATAGAAGGCATTTCTGCTGAGAATTTTTCATTAGTGTTAAATACTTTTCATGCAAAGATATGAATATTTCAACCCTAACTCAAGTTTAAATGGTTGAGATTTGCAAAAGATGCTCTTCGCAAGATTAGCACCCTCATGAGGAAGCAATGTGTGGTGTCCTTCAGGGGTTGGTACTGGGACCAGTACTGTTCAACATCTTTGTTGGCAATGTGGACAGTGGGATTGAGTGCACCCTCAGCAAGTTCACTGAGGACACCAAGCTGTGTGGGGCAGTCGACACACTGGAGGGAAGTGACGCAATCCAGAGGGACCTTGACAGACTTTAGAGGTGGAACAGTGCAAACCTCATGAGTTCAGCAGAATGAAGCACAAAGTCCTGCATCTGAGCCATGGCAATCTGAGAAACACCTATAGGTTGGATGGAGAAGTCACTGAGCGCAGGCCTGCAGAGAATGACTTGGGGGTGATGGTCGGTGAGAAATTCAACATGAGCTGGCAGTGTGCACTTGCAGCCCAGAAAGCCAACTGTGTCCTGGGCTGCATCAAAAGGAGTGTGGCCAGCAGGTCGAAGGAGGTGATTCTCCCCCTCTGCTCTTGTGAGACCTCACCTGGAATACTGCATACAGCTCTGGTATTCCCAACGTAAGAAGTACATGGAACTATTAGAGCAAGTCCAGAGGAGGGCCGTGAAGTTGGTAAGAGGACTGGAGCATCTTCTCTGTGAAGACAGGCTGAGAAAGTTGGGGCTTCCTGAAGAAGGTTGTGTGGAGACCTCACAGCAGCATTCCAGTATCTGAAGAGAGCCTACAGGAAAGCAGGAGAGGGACTCTTTGTTAGG